CTTAAAGGATGTGTGTCTGTGTGAATTTCCATTGTCCACTTCTGGAGGAAACAACAAAAGCACAGTGCAAATTCTTCTCTCTTACTTTTACATAGCAGGTGAAAAAATAGAGAAAAGGAATAAATGCCCAAAACACATAGGGAATTTGAATTCTTGCCTAAATGCTTCATTCCATTTAATAGACAAGAAGTTCAACTACCTCTTAATGTTATCTGTCACACAGAGAAATTACCCATTAAGTAAACTAATGGACCCTTTTTCAGAATGATAAATATTCTATGCTGTGAGAGACATTCCTTCCAGATAATACAGAAGAATACTTCATTCTTTTCCCCCAACTGATTTTGTACCTGGATATGTTATAAAGTCCCCAACAATATACATGAGATTTCTTGTTGATAAAGTGGGATTGGTCAGGAACAAAAGAATACTACAAAATAGACATCTTTATTTCTAATGAGTAGTTCAGATGCCTATTATTTCTGGAGGTGCATTTTTTGCTCAGGCAGCTTACAGGGAACACTGCTGTTGGTCCCATTTTAAAGTTGGAGCCAGCAGCACATGCCAGGCAAGAGTTAGGGTGGAGGCTGGCATGCATCCTTGGACTTGTGTTAGTCCGTGCTGGCATGGGATCCTGGGCAAGAGCTAGGTTTTGTGTCAGCAAGTAGCCCACTGTAAGGGTTAAGTTTGGGTCCAAAAGGGATTTGGGCTGTCAACGGTGCCCTAATCGTAGTCCTGAGACTCCTGCCAGCCCCAATTGGTAAGCAAAAAAAAAAAAAAAATACTACATCAGGGATTCAGTTTCAGCCACTTATTTCAAAAGTTGCAGTAATGCTTAATGTAGGTCACCTATTAGCAGGTCGCAATTACAAAGGAAAAGTAAGTGATGATAAAACATTGACACAATGCAATTGTTTGTCCATCAGCAGATTCAGTCACACTTGCTACATTATCATCCTATACATCTTTTCTCTCTGTGGTATTGATCTGGGATATGAAACAATGTTTAACTGTCTCAGATTTGTAGAAAGTACCCCTTTGAGTTTTTAAGATCGTGTGTAATTTGGCAGGAAATGAAAGTGCTGCATATGTAGTCATTTAAAAGAAAACCTGCTTTTCGAGATAATGGCTTTTTGACAATGAGCTGCATGGCCTACATAACACCTTACACACTTCATCATGTATAATATTTTCCTGATGCTATACTGCAGTTATTATGTGCTCCTTATTATCTGCTGATAGAAAGGTTAATGCTAAGGTGCAGCAATCTGTTGTAAATGTGTGCCATCATCCTGAGTAGCTCTGATGGTCACATGTGTCAAAGGAATGCATAAAGCTTTGATAATCTGTACTGGAAAAGGAAATCTTGTTCCCACTCCTTATAAATCACAACTAGAAGGGAAATATGGGGGTTTTAAAGGTTCTCCTAGGATTAACTCTTGTAACCCCTTGTCATGGCTGATTCCCCACTCTGGCATGATGAATGTAGAAGTAAGGCCCCACAAAAGTACCCCAAAACCTTATCTCGCCAGGCATTGGTAAAAAACTTTCCTCCAAAATCCTAAAAGCCTAGATTTTGGGAATAAAAATCCTCTGCCACCACCCAAGTAATGGTAAGAAAACCAGGGAAGAGATCACTTGGGAAATCTCAGCCCTAAGGTAAAACCAGGACACAAAAATTAACCAATACTAGGTTAATAAAAAAGAAAGAACCTTTATTATCACAATACTCCTATTACAAGCATAGTTGGATTGGCTAGATGGTAAAATCCACCAATTAAGAAACTTATGGGGAATTTTCCCATGGGAACAAAACTTAGTTACAAAAGAGAGGAAAACCCATTTCTAAATGCAGAGACATCAGATTCCCATTCCCAAACCATAAAACAATAAAACCTAATGGATTTATCTAGGCTTTGCCCTACTTACAGATGGTGAAGAGTCTTTTCTTGGAGAGGGACATGTTGTCTGTCCCCCTCAGTATCTGGAGAGCAACTGACTCAGGGTATGTCTACACTACAGCACTAATTCGAAGTAACTTAATTCGAATTAGTTAATTCGAACTAAGCTAATTCGAACTAGTGCATCTAGACCTAAAAACTAGTTTGAATTAGCGTTTTGCTAATTCGAACTAGCATGTCCGCATTAAGTGGACCCTGACAGTTCTCAGGGGTTCCCCGCTCGCTTGTCTAACTCGATGAGGGACAGCAAAGCAGTCCTGGCTTGGAGTGCCCTGAATGCCCACACTCGGCACATCACAGCACTCGGCCATCAGCCCGGCTGCACTTGCCGCAGGCTGCCATCTGGGGAGGGGGTGTGTCAATCGGGGGACTGCAGGAGAGCTTCCACTCTGAGGAGCCCGCAGAGCTAACCCAGTCCTCCCCATCGGGGGCTCGTACCCCATTCCTTCCTCACCTCCTTCCACTTACCCCCTTCCTGATGTACAAAATAAAGGACACGTGTGTTAAAAAATAGAAACTCTCTTTATTGAACAAAACTCGGGGAGACTGGGAAAAGGAGGTGGGAGAGGGGAAGAGAGAGAGTGGGAAAGGGGAGGAGGAAACCTGG